TTTGATCTTAGCGTCTTTTTTTTAAATGCATATAAAAAATATGGCAATTGCAAACGACAGCACATCCTGTCACGACCTTAACACAAACTGGAGAACCAAATGCACGACCCAGAGACAGTCTTGAATGTAGCAAAACATGTCTTTTTAATTTCAAGCAAACAGAAAATCCCTCTTAACAGAGTAGGTACTGGATTAAACAAGAAGCGCTCACAAGGAGGGAAAAACAAGCGTAACAAAAAGAGAATTTAAGATTAACTTAAGTCTGCAAAAAATAACAAAATAACAAAACCTGACTAGACTGGAAATGATCCTCTCTTGGCTGAAGCCTGGCACGACCATCCATGGAAGCAAACAAGACGAACTGACACAGGACAGGGGGAGACAGGACTATTTAAACATCAGGTGAGTGGGAACAGGTGGAAACAATCAGGGGCGGGGCAGACGCTGACAATGGCGGGAAAACACACAAAGGGAGGAAGAAACAGGGCCTGAAATGAGAGACAAGAGGTAAGTACAAAATAAAACAGGAAATGGAAAACGAGACATGACATGAAACACAGGGACTTGACTAGAGATGAAATTACATAAATAGACAGACATGACATGATGTGAAATAACATGAAAAGACAGACATAACACATAAACATAACTAACTAATTTGACGAGACACAACCCATCCTCAGGGATTACACCGCAGCCTCCTAGCAGATGTGGCATCTAGGTTTACAATTAGAGTAATATCATCCATCATGTGAAATCCCGTTATGTTAACACAACAGAAGAGCCTCTGGTTTTCCTAATGTGTCACACTAGGGGTATTGTTGTTAATCAAAATGAAATAAACTGTTTGCATTGTGCAGGACTTAAACGTAATAACAAGATGAAGGTTTGTGTCCTTATAACTTTATAATTCTTCTCCTGATAGTTTTCCTCCTCTGGTCACTATCCTCTTCCATATTTTTCATTTAGTTATTCTAGTTACTTGGCCTTCCATTCCCCTCATGCGCACAATAGAAGCCATGTCTCTGCTTTCCGTTTTACCTAAAAGCTGTAATGGTGGGCTATAATAAGCTTTCTCCTTTCCCCTCTTCATATTTAATGTGCTCACCATTACTGAGCAGGAAAAATATGGAGCCAATTATGGACATAAGATCTGTTTTATAACAACCCTGTATCCTATGAATAGTTTTCTGTTGAAAATGAGTTGTATAAAAGGTTCAAGTTAGGGTAGGTAATATATTCAAACCCTTTCAATGTGTCTTCCGACCAATTCAAGATATAAAACGCTCTAACACTAATGTCCTGCAGGTCACCCTTGAAAAAGAGATCTTTTGATCTCAAGGGGCTTCACCTGGTTAAATAAAGGCTACAAACAAACAAACAATAATATGTATTCGGCTATTGCGGGCCTTTAATACATATAAACCCGTCCACTCATTCAATTTGGTCCACTTGAAATGATTGGACATCCTTTCTGTCAACTGCCTTCCTACACACACTCATGCACTCATCGATCTATTTACAGTTCAATACATTTGGTAATCAATAACGATTATTTCCCCCATAGCTCCTAGGTGGATTCGTCATGGATGTAAAAAAGTGAACATGGATACAGCGTTGGAGGCGGGGTCAGTTCATTCCTATAAAAGTTGCTCAAATGGCCTGACCGGAGAAGAAAAAATAACCAGATCTTTATAATATATTCCGGAGATCTCCTGGCCTGAAGCCCCGCATCCAATCTGCTCCGTTACGTCTCGGCTCAGTCAAATTAATGGAGATGGGAAATAACTCTTGATTTCACTTTTAACACATTCTTAAACTTTAAAGCCCTAATGATTATAATATGGGCTATTCAAGTGTTCTTCTTGGTAAGTTGATTCATGTAATACAATTATTATCTGCTGATTTACAGACGTATTTTTTCCTGTTTAAGTCAATGGGAAAAATGTAGTTCTCAACGCATGGCTATCTTCCTGGGGGCTTGGGGCTTGTCCTCCAGCAGATGAGTCTCAATGGATTCAGACGGAGGGGCTGACCAAGACATTTTCAAATCCCTTTTTAGTCACCACATTAACCTCCCAAAGCCATCAGACCTGGTTTAAAATTAGAAGCCCAAGGAAAAATCCATGATCAAGTTGTAACTATAGAAACTATTGTGTGCATATATATTGTATAATATATGTTACAGGATTCAATTTACATGGGGTATTTTATGTTCCTGAAGCACTCTGAGCTAAACTAGGAGAGTGGTTGTACAGAACATGCTGTACAGTACATTACAAGGGAGAGGATGCTTATTAATTAGAAATTAGACAGGTTGCTGAGGGGAATATATTGTAGTTTATTTAGCAGTAATCCATATACAATGGCTACGGCACAAAGCCATTTTAATAACGTGATTAATTAACTGTGTTGTTTTCTAATCAAAATATCTTTCTGACCAACTGTCCTTGTATTTGCAGCCTCATTAAATTCAGTTATGGGTTGTTATCAAATAGTCAATAAAATAGCATTTTATGTATTTTTTCTAAACACTCTTTCTTAACCTCAGAGAAAGACTTACTGTAGGAGAGAATTTGATTACAACGGAAGGTGTTCTAGTTGTGCATCTGCCACGGTTAAACTACAATTTTCCATGGGTGGAATACTAAAAGCGCACATCGATACTTTGCCCTGTGCGTTGTTATCATGGTGTTTCGTTACAACAATATATTAGTACAATATAAACAGCAAAAACAGTAAATATACATACAGTATGACTTAATTACTAAGATAGAAACAGATAGAAAAAAACAAGAGTGAAAATAAATGTTTGTCACTTTAAAATGGTTGCTCGTGGACATCCTAACCCAAGTCGACTCATCAATAAACATGAATCCCAATTAGTGTGAGTGTATACAAATATTTGACTAGATTTGAAAAAAAAATTGTCACTCAAAATGTTTCAATTTGTAGGAACTGTGGAGCGCTGTTTCCTCCTTTACTTTCTCAAAGGGATTCTATTGTGCTTTTGAGGGTTCCCCTTTCCTGGAGAGTGTTTTATAGGTTTGTGTGCATGTAAATGGTCTGCAAAGGCTAAAATCCCAAAGTTCCTTCCAGAGGGAGTTTCTCTCCCACACACTCCCCCCTGCCTGAACCACCTTCATTGAACTCCTTTGTTGACCTCCATATTATATTGACATCCCAACAGGGCCGCCTCTCACGCACAGTTCGTAGGGCCTCATATTACGCCGGGGGCCTCATCTTATGCGCAAATGCGGTGCAATTATGCAAGCCACAGTTTCCCCGCCGTGAGGCCCGAGGTCCGAGCCAATTGTAATGCTCAGCTTATATACCTTTCAGGGTGAACAGAAGTATGAGAAAAATAAAGACCTTTTTTAACATTAAAGTATGTAATCATGTCACAGTAGAAGCATAAAATACAAATATGAAATCTGACAATGAGCAAAATATGTCCTCTTTAAAAGATTGTTGATTGTGCTAAACTACAAAATAAAGGAAGCATTAAAGCTCCTTGCTTTATTTAGAGAATTAGAACAGCTCCTTTCTTGGCTGCCACTCCTTATGCGTACTTTTCCTAACTCAGGAACCCTCCTCAGCAAAAAAGACTATTTGAATGCAACCCTGGATATAATTTCCATGGATATGAATGGAAAACAGAGGTTTACACGAAGTGGAGTTTTAGCAACTAATAAATGGAAACATTTTCAGGTGGTAACTAGACTCCCATTGGTCAATAACGTGACTCCAGCACCTGCTCTGAATAATTATTCTCATACAACTGTTCTGTGGGCCTTCTATTGCTGTGTGAATCCACAAGGATGCTTGATTACAAAAGGACTGCTAATCGGTTGCTTGTAATGTATTTATGTGGAAAATAATACACACTTGCTCTATGTATACACGTCAAGTAGTTAACCAATACAGCTCTTCACGCCTACTAATGTTGTACATTTGTCTATCTTGGTCTTTCTAAAGAAAATAAAAAGTGGAATCTCATGATCAAATACATTGAGGGATATGCTTCACTCCCTGTGATGAGAAAAAGATGCATAACAATGCTATGGTATATGAAATAATGTTCATAATTAAAGCACTAGAGCGTTCTCTCATCTACCAGGCATTCAAAGGGAAGAGAGCCCTTCAAGTCAGCATGGCGGCCAGTGGGTGTGAGAACTTGATGTAATTATGATTAGTGGGCAATCACATACCCTGACTGTGTGTTTATGTGCTTAGCTCTGTGTCACCACCAACTGGTCCAAAGCTTGTTCTTCATCTGCGTGAGACTTAAAAACAGGTCAATATCTCAACAGGATTGTAACCCGGTTGTAGTTTTTTCTGCTGTTATTTACCTCAAGTCAATTGTGCGTTTTTTTTTGTGGTCTGGAACAATCCGCTGTCCAATTGTTCAGAGAGCTCTCTAATCCAGCCTTAGATGTGAGTCGTGCAGTGCTGCCTAATAGGATCGTAGTATTAACCCTGATGACAATACCACCAGCTGTCGCAGAGCCCCCTGTTGGCCACCAGGAGCACTGTGTTTGGGGGGGAGTTAGAGAGACAGAGGGGGAGGTGACTGACAGAGAGACACAAATAGCCAGAGACAGAGAGAGTGTGAGGCTCTTCTGTAATATTCAGGGAAGCAGTTGGGAGGAGGAAAGCAGAAACTCCTGAAGTGCTTTGTTTTTTGACCACTACCTCTTTGAATCTTCACGCCCCTCGGTTAAGAAAACACTTTTTATTTTATTTTTCACTTTTTCTTTCTAATTTCTTGCTCTCTCAATCCCACCTTCACCTTCACCAGCCTGCGTCCATCTGACTCTCGACTCACTATTTTCTATTTCCTCCAGAGTGGTGGCGGCTGTTGGCTCTGCGCTGGTTCTATATGGCTGAATAAGCGGTTAAAAGAGGGGGGGGGGCTTGCTCCGGTTGTTTTCTGTGTGAGGGGTGGAGAAGTTGCAGACCAGACCAGGACAAGCAAGAGGAGGAGTTGGTGGAGGAGGATGGCGGTGGCTCTGGGTGAAGTGTGGGGGCGGGTGAAGAATGTCTGCAAACAGAACGGACTGCTCATCCTGTCCGTGCTGGCCGTGGTCATTGGCTGCCTGCTGGGCTTCTTCCTCAGAGGCAAGCGGCTCTCCGAGCAGGTCAGTTGGTTAAAAACGCCTGGTGGTGATTGTGAAGCCTGGTCTTCCCCCCCACCCACTACCCACCTGCTCACCGGCCCAACCGCCCTACCTCCCCTCTCAAGTGTCCGTGACCCCTCGACTCCTTAAATGATTCAGACGCTACATCTCCTAATGCAAGAGATTACCCAATTCCCTGCGTTCACCTCGACTCCCTGTGCTAAACACCCAGCATTTCCAGTCACTCACAAATATGTCTCTTTGTAATGGCACTGAATTGACTCCCAATCGATCCTCGAAAAACATCCCATAACTAGACCCTAACCTTTACCTTAACCCCAGACCGGATTCTAATTTGACCTCAAAACCCAGCCAGAAAATTAACTCAGAATTGACTGTTGTCCCACGATGGCAGATAATTAAGTCTCCATATCAATCATTCAACCATCCCCAATACCAGTTATGGCACATACAAGCCCGTCTAATTAAACCATATGGATCCACAGTTGCCCCGATAACCAATAAAGTGCAAGGCAGGACGACGTAACTACTAGATTGCAAATGTAATTGACTTTGTGGATGATGGCTATTCAATTTCATCAAAGAAACTGCCAGGGTTCTTTCACACTGAAATTGCAAATTAAAGAAATATGCCTTTTTTTACGAGATATGAAGAAAAAGCACTACGTCAAAATAGTTTGTTTTCTGCTAGAATGGCACTTAATTGGCTCATCCTAAAGCCAATTCGTCCCCTGCGACAGGCTAATTATAATGGAAAATTAAACCCCCAAGAGCAAGTTTTTTTTCTGCTTTTCAAAAATGTAAAACAGTATCTCATCAGTCATGCCTATAGCCACGCAAGCTGGACTCTGTGGAAAGGGATTGCTGGTGAGGAGATTACTTGTCAATCACTCACAGAGACAAGTCAACAGTATAGCATACGTGTTCACTTATATAATTCACACATGGCTGAATGGGAAGTGGAATTAAAATGGGTTGAATTCAGAGAACGCTAAGAGGCTAAAGATGAACAGAGAAATTACATTTCTGCATGCAACTGGGTGATTTTAACCTGTTAGAGGTTGTGAGTGCATGTGGTAATTTGTATGAATGATGTTAGATGTGTCTAGGTATTGCAATCAATGTTTGATCATGCCGGTGATGTCCAATTAATTTTATTTGTATTTATATGACACACTGGACAACCCAGTCTCACGGCATTTCGTGTTATAGTCACAAAATTAATTTAATCTATTGATTCGTGTTCACCAACACGATTTTCGCATTTTTTTCGTGTCACACAGAACGATTTTAAAAGCAATGTATTTCTATTGGTATGTTTCGTGCCTGCACCATGTCTTTTTGTCCGGTTGGGTCTTGGAATACCAGAAGCTGTGTGGTTCATAAAAACATTTTCTTACTCAATATCTTACCCTAAGTCTAACCCTATCCCTTTTATTTTAAATTGTATAATGTCGGAGTGTTTTTACCGTCTGCAAGGAAAATAAATGGGGCTCAGAGCCTCAGAATACTGAAATCTGTATTTTTTGTCATCATTAGAAAAAATATATCAACAATTCATCAAAGCTGCTTTCCCACTGAACAAAAAACCTACTACTAGCCACTAACATTGAGTGGCGCGATTACACTCGGGGTTCATTACCAGGCCTTGCAGAAGTCACAGGTATTAATAAGTCCCTGCTCCTATCAGTGGTGATGGAAACATGAAAGGGGGTTGCACTGTTTTCAAACATTTTATGACGCGATGCCATGACCCCCGTAGAAAATAAAGCCAGGCGACTCTGTGGACATAAAAAGTAATTTTAGCTCCCTGAATACAAAATGAAACTAAGCTATTTAACAGCATAGATAAAGAACACATTTGATATAAGTTTTAAGAGAAGCAATGGCATTTGAATTGAACGGGCAAAAGGAATGAAAAGTAAATCACAACATGTCTTTGGCAAAAGCAGCTCTGTTCCTCACAGACTGAACATATTTAACAGTTTAAAAATACATTAGTGTGGATTGTTTTGGAAATAATCTTAAATGCTAAGGGCTCAGAAAACATATTTTCAGTCAGAAAGTCTTTATCAAGTTAAAAAACTTGGCTTGACTGGCTTATATTTCTCACTATACAGTTAGTGTCTAAAACGTCAGTCCAACATACTTAGATTTAATTAAAGGCTGGATGCATGAAAATCACAAATGAAATGACAACCTTCAGGAAGTATGGCGTTTATATTTATAGAAATATGTCACATACATATGCTGCTTATTGACTTTGTTGACATCAGGACAGCAGATAGCTTGCACATCTTCCGGCGCAAACTGAAAACTCATCTCTTTCGACTCCACTTCGAGCGTTAGAACTATTAACGAAGCACTTTTATACTAATAAAGGACTGGCTTATCTAAAGCCAGTTGAGTAGCACTTGAAATGTTTGGCTCTATGAAACCTGATGTACTTATATGATTCTGTTTTCTTCAAGGTTGTGTCTTCCTGGTCGAATGCACTTATTGTAAGTCGCTTTGGATAAAAGCGTCAGCTAAATGCAATGTAATGTAATGTGTGTGTGTGTGCGTGTGTTTGTGCGTGTGTGAGTGCGTACACTGAATATTTTTTCACAGCCTGACTTACATCAACAAAATAACAGACTAATGTACCTGCCTCTATTCCATACGCACACTCACACAAACACACACACACAAACACACACACACACAGCCATTTGGCCTAAAACTTTGTTATTCCAAAACAAAATCAAAACGCTTTTATTGCTTCCTCATCTCACTGCACAGATGTGCAGTACTTACATTTTTATATTTTTTTATTTCATACTCTTCACCTTTTTTTTTATCCTTGTGGATTATTCCCCTAATAAATTACAGTCATGATACAATTTGTTTTTGATTTGAAATTGTACTTTTTTTGCATAAAGAATACACCAACATTACCTAAATACCTAATTGTATACTAGATCCTTTCTTCATTTTACATTCTTACCTTTTAGCTATTTTGGTTAAATATAAATGAGTAATTGCTCAAATGTTGGATAACCCATGACATTTTGTTATGCCTTTCAAAAGTGTTGTTAAACCAACAATATATATATTTTGGACTATGTACTATCTTTTGTCATCACCTCCTGTTTTGGGGAACATGTTAGCAAACAAAAATACATTAGCATTTGTTTGAATTTAAGTGTTTTGTCACAAGACAGTGTCTGACATTCACTCTACTTTCAAGAGGTCCTATTGTGCTATTTGGGATTTTACCTTTCCAATAATGACATCACTATGTTATACTTGTGCTTCTATTGGCTAGCGCTCCAACACTTTTTTAGATGATAGGGGGCGGGACATTCTGAGCGGTTGACCAATAACAACAGAGCCGGCCAGCTAACCAATCAGAGCAGACTTGGCTCTGATTTCAGGCAGAGGGTGAAAAGAGGTGCTGGTGGTGAAGACCATTTTGAAAATGTAAGCATGTAAACATATCGCAGGAGAGGCACAAAATACAAATATGAACCTGAAAATTAACATAAAAGGTCAGTTTTTGGTCTCCACCAACTCCTGAAAATAATATCTGGCTCAGGTGTTGGGAAAACGTTGTAAAAGTTTTCGAGGGAGCTATGTGAATGCTAATGATTTACCTCAGCGCCATCTCCAGTAGGCCTACAGGTTAACGACCACAAGTTTTAAGAATAAATAAAATGTACGATGCAGGGTTATAAAAAAGTGAGTAACGAGATTTCTTTAGCCCACTCCTCATCAGCTACTATTACCCACTTTAAATTACAACCCAAAATCTACACAGAGTAACTAAAGTTGCCTTCATTTTAGCACAGCAATATAGTTACTGGAAGGGACTATTTTTTATTTTTGATGCATTTAAGCAACCCAATATCCAGTTGGCTGAATACATCAAATCTAAAAGACACAAACGTGGACACTGTATAAACAGTTATTTGCATTTGCCGGGTTCACAGATTTGATAATAACATAAACCTTAATCATAAATAATCTTTTTACACATTATAAATCATGCTTACTGTGATAAGTTTGCAATCTCAAGCAATCACTTTGCTGCATTGCATGTTCACTGGAACCAGTCCAGCACCACGGGAATTACACACATGAAAAAGAAGAAAAAAATCACATCACTAAAACATGATGACATCACACAGAGACCCTGACACTCCACACAACAGCATCTGTAATACAGATGAGGGCTCACAGAAAGCATTCAGTACAACAACCAAGCCTTTAATATGGAGAATTATATTCAGAGTTTGTTTTTCATCTCAGTAGGTCTGCTTTTGTGAAGTGTTATGCAAATGCATTATATAATGTGAACGCAGTTAAATATGTTTGACATTGTTTCAAGTTCAATATCGCTGTGACAGATAGTTTCCCTATTTCTAATGACTTTGTGTTCATTATCAGATTGACAGGGGTTCTGGGAGAAGTTTCCAGATTCATTCATTTAAATGATCCTGATATAAAAATCTTTAGGGGCTTCATATTTCAACAATTATAATTCTAATGTTTAAATAAAACAGTTCATAAATCAGGCTCTTACATGAAAAACTGCTTCTCATTCATCAGAATCCATGTTTATTTAGTCCATTCATGCACTAAGAGAGAAACACTTTCTCTTGGTGTGTGTGTGTGTGTGTGTGTGTGTGTGTGTGTGTGTGTGTGTGTGTGTGTGTGTGTGTGTGTGTGTGTGTGTGTGTGTGTGTGTGTGTGTGTGTGTGTGTGTGTGTGTGTGTGTGTGTGTGTGTGTGTGTGTGTGTGTGGCCTAGCATTACTATACTTGTGGGGACCTACATCTGTTTACACAGTCACGTGTGGGAACTCGCCTCCCTTATGGGGACAAATTGGAGGTCCCCATAAGGGGAATCATTAATTTTAGGGTGAAGACTTGGTTAGGTTTAGGACTAGGGTTAGGGTAAGGGTTAGGGTTAGGCATGTGTTGGTTATGGTTAAGGTTAGGATAAGTCTCCAGGAAATGCATGTAAGTCAATGTAATGTCCCCTGAAGTCTTTTTTAAAAATTATAAACCTTTTTTTTCATTGGCTTTAGGCATAGCATCAATCAACAAAATGTGGAATATGTTGAATCTGAAAACATAATGCCAACTGTATGAGCACCCTTAGAACAGAAGAAGGCTGACGGGCCCATTTACAGAGATGTGAGGTTGTTCTTCTAACTTCAGTTCATGAACTTTAGGTAACAATTTGAAAGTAACAGCGAAGCTAAAAGGATGATGTTTTGGTTTAAGTAACATGTTGATATCTGTTTCTTAGTTGTTGTTCTGACATTCACACACATTTACTATCTTACAACATTAAAGATGCCCAATTCTGCTTTTTGGGGCTTCCCTCTCCTGTGGTGTGTTATATAGGTTTTTGTGCATGTAAATGGTCTACACTCACACTTCTATTGGCTAGCGCTCTGACACATTGTACGTGACAGGCTAAGGGGCATGACATCTCTAAGCGGGTGACCAATTACACCAGAGCCAGCCAGCTAACCAATCAGAGCAGACTGGGCTCTGGTTTCAGACAGAGGGTGAAAAGAGGTGCTGCAGCACAGGCAGGATGAGAAAAATAAAGAGCTTTTTGAACATTAAAGCATAGAGACATGACTAAATATAAATATATACCTAGAAATTAGCCTAATAGGGCCCCTTTAATGGGCTCTTGATTTGACCATGCTAAACCCTTCCACTGATTTTCATGAAAATGTGACCCACCCACACAGACGTACAAATAGCATATTGATAGATTGAAAAAAGACTGAAGGCAATTTGAGGACTCTGGCAGACTATTCCAGCAATAAACAGCATAAAAGCTCTAGGCAATTTGGGACGTTGAATGAGCAACAAGAAGCCAGATGGTCAAATACTTTTTCAAAAAATCTAATATGTTCTCATATGAATGCCATGGTCATTCTTTATATACAACTCACTGCACAGATGTTATCTAACGTTTCATAGCATCTGTCAGAACATTGGCTAAAGTATTCAGCGCTGCAACAGATTATTTTTTGAAAATAAGAGGTCTGCTTTCATTTTGCAATATTATAAGATGCTTTATATGATAAAAACCTAATTATTGTAAACATTGTTATCATAAATGTTTTTTATACTATATCAATACATACAAAGGGAACAAAATGGATTGCTATGATGGAGGTATTGATACCTCTTGTCTTTGTACTGTGGGATAAATATGAATCTGGTTACTTTATTTTAGCAAAGAGTCAGTTAGAAAATATTTTTACAGGCAAAGTAGATTCAAGTGTTAGTAGTGCTGGTAGATCACCTTTTGGCTAACTGTTTTGCATGTTTCTTGTATTTGTTTTAAACTAGGCTAATTGGCTGCTAGCTATGAATTATTTACATATACACATCAGAGTAGCATTGATCAACTCGTTTAATGATTGAAAAAAGAAAACCAATTTGTCTTAGTTCCAATATGTCCAACAATAATGAGTAATGAAGGTCTTGTTTTTTCCCTAGGCATTATTGGCAGCAATTCAATGATCTCTCCTTGATGAGCAGTAAAAGGTTGCATGACATTGATTTGTATCTACCTCAGTGCATTTATTTACCGGATATGTGGGATATGATATACATCCAGTTCAGGGATGTCAAAGGGTTGACCCCTGTGGAACACCAATCTATACACTCAGAAATTCAAATCATGCAAAGTGAAACCTGTGTTTTCAATGTTTCTAGTTTTCTAGTGGCACACTAATTGGTTGACAACTTGCTGTGAAAAATACAGTACAATACACATCAAGCTAATATTGCAAGTTACTGAAGTAAGCAAAAAATATTTACGCATGTTTTTCTGTATAACCCTGTGTTACAGTGTGTTTTTCTCTGACACCTGCAGGAGGTGAAGTACTTCCAGTTTCCTGGAGAGCTGCTGATGAGGATGTTGAAAATGTTGATTTTGCCCCTCGTCGTATCCAGGTATGAGCAATATAGCCACTCACACACACAAAGACACACACACACATATAATGTGTGAGCCGATTGACAGACTTGATTAAAGATTGACAATATTTTCAGGAAGAAAGTAGATTTTCACAGAAAAACTACATTTATTCTGTGACAAACAAAGAATATATACATGCACATTGATATTCCAATCACTAACCCCTGTTGCATAGATGTTTAAAAGTTGGCGGTGTTGCATTCTTTATGCTGAAATTATTTGAACCAAACCTGCACAGGACAGATCTGCAATCATTCACCTCCACCCACAAAGAAGGGCTTGTTCCAATGCGATGCACAATCTATATGCAGATAGCATATGATTTCCACTGGCAGTATTATTGCTTTGAAAATGTACTTTCCGAGATACAAGGGCTACATTCCTCATCTTTTCTTTTTGATTAGATGAAACATAAAATGTCAGCAGCATGGGAGCTATGGCACGTGCACACATAGACATCAAAGTGGGCTTGAGCCCCTGCCCTTTTTCTTCCTCCAGAGACAGTGCCCTTTTAAAAAAAGAAGAAGAAATGAATATATATCTACTGCTGTTTGCGCTCATTTTCCCTTTCCAAAAATATATTGATTGAATACAAAAGAAAAATATCAGGTCGGGAGATTAGACTGTGAAGTTCCGATGCTCTCTCTACCCTCCCTCCCTCCACGTCTCGCGCACAGCGGTGCGGACATCGGCAGTCACTTCCGACAGACAGGTAGCAGCACCTCCCACTTTACTGTCCCATGTTATGCCGGCTTTTCTTAGCTTGTTTGAAGGTGAGTGGTAATGAACAAATAATTAAGCTGCCAGTGCCTCGAGTTTAAAGCTAATTAGCTAAAAGACAATAACAAATATAGTTAACTAAGGTAGGCCACTAGCTAATGGATAAGTTAGCTCAAGGTTTAGCGAAGGCAATTTATCATGGGCATTCAGGCTAATAATGTACTTACTTCCGGGTTTTAGGACGCGTCACTGCACGTCTCTCGTCTCCTCTTCACACACCACACTTTTCGCGGCACACGTACTTACAGCCAATCAGCTCTGAATTATGTGAGATGACGTATGGTGGGGATGGCAGCTCTATGCCCCTATGGTCATTATTGTTTTGCCACACACATTAAATAGGAAAATACTCTGAGCATGCGCAGTGTAGTTTTTACAGTCACCGTTCACTTTGACAGTGAGAGGGAGGGGCAGGATCGGGTTTTGTCCCACATGGCTCTAAACAGCTCAATAGGCACACACTGTAGACACTAATTAGAAGAACACAGACTAAAACAGCAATGTACAGACAAATCAGATGATTAAACATGATCTTAAAATATATTTTATATATATATTTTTTTTTTTTTGCATTTTTTTGTAATCATTATTTGTAATACTTTCTGCTGACACTAGGTGGGGCTGTGCCTGGTCCCCTAATGACCAGTCGCCACGGCTAATAACGTAATCACAATCGCCACATTGATATGCAAATTAGGCGTTAACTAGGCCTAATTAAAATGCGCTAATTTGCATGCAGTTACCAAGGCATTGCAGGTGAAAAGGATAAAACAAAAAACAAACAAAAAAATATATCACCTCACAACTTCCCCAGATAGTTACAGTATTTTCCCCTGAAATGTTATGTTTAAATGCAGATTAGCTTTAAATCTATAGATGAATTCAGACATGCAGTAAAACGAACACCATTTATATGTGTTTTTTGGAAGTTTTGTTTCCATTAGAGTGAAAGAAAACATGGAAGCAAAATAGATCAAAATAACACAATTTACAAGTAGATGAAAAAACGATCTTTTCGCCTGTAATGTCCTGCCTTATAAACAGTAACTTCATAATTTTGATTGTTGGCTGCTCATTTAATAACTATTAATTTGACTAGTTTGTTGTCTGCTCTTGTGCATTGTGAATACTAAAGAAGACCATTGTCTCTGTGTTAACTGATTATTTTTGTAGAATTCTGTTGAGTATTAAACAATTTTGTGAGTGTGAGGGTATTAAAATTGGTCAGTAAGTCAGAGATGTGCAACTATAATTAACTTTTTGTTTTAAAACCATGATTATGGGAAGTGCCCTTTTTCTCACTAAAGCTCCCGCCCCCCAAAATGTCTGTGCACGTCCCTGGCTATAATGTTCTGCTGAGAAGCAGAAGAGACAAAAGAGACAGCATCTGAATGAGAGCTACTTCAGAAAGAATTGATCATGACTTTGACCATTGATATATACCCTTGACAAGTCTTATCGGAAAACCAGTTCTGTAGAATTCCAAACCAGTCTCACAAAGAAACATGCAATAGCTACGTTGGCCCACAGGGCCAAACAAATGCTCTCATTTTGTGACATTACTATATTATTTTTAACGGCCATGTCACGTGATCATTAACTCTCCCGGCGTAAAAAAAAAAGCATGATGGACACCCAACACATTTTTTGTGTCTATGTGTACATTCCTTTCAGAATCCACGTCCAGCGGATGTGTATCTATAGTTTGATAGATATTACGAAGATCTATTAAAGTCTCGCCAGGAAAAATGTGTTTAGACTACGTATTTAAACTTTAGAGGGTGCTATGCGCGCAGCATCAATTGTCCGTGTCAATGTCACAACTAGTGAGAATTTGTTGTGAACATACTTTTTGCACTGGACCAACGTAGCCATAACACCTTTTTTGTGAGACTGGGTTGTTCTGTTAAAACAACATTAGGCGCTTTAACACCGGAGTACTTTTCCCCGTACTTTTCCCGATTAGTTCGGATAGTTCCTGGGATTTTGCGTTCACACCAAAAAGACATGAGCATTGTTACCCCCTTTTTAGTGCCTGCTAGAGAGGTGGTACTTTCTTGGGGAGAAAAAAGTTCCAATTTCTGATTGGCTGGGCGAATTGCAAACCACGACCCCTAAAACTCGGAAAAGTTTTTTTAAGCCGCCATTGTATTTGCTGGCATTAGCATTATTAGCATTAGCATTAGCCCCACGCACCAACAGAGAGAGAATAACTTATGGCAACACAAAAAAAAACATGGGAGCGGTGGAGTGATGAGGAGGTGTCGGTGTTCTGGCGATTTACTCCGGGGACTTCCGGCCGGGGACTTCGGGTGGCAGTATACGCCATGAAGTTGTTTGCGGCCTGCCAGTAAACCCAAAGCAGAAGAAGAAGAAGTGACGTCAGCGGCTACATTTGCCTAATCCTTCCCCAGGAACTTATTCCGGTGTGAACGCGATCAGCTCTTAGTTCCATGGGGGTACTAAGTGCTAGGAACTAAGTACGACAAAGTACTTGGTGTGAAAGCGGTTATTAAGCCCCTTTAAGGAAATTGAAGGGTCTTCACACAAGATATAAAAGAAACACATAAAAAGAGGATTTAAGTATATGGAAGAATAGAATAAAAGGCATCAATTAGATAAACTTGTTAAACATGGCTTAGGCAGGATTTACAATGGAGGACGTAGTTCCACATTTATTTGTTATGAAATGCAGAAATATATAAGCCTCAATTCAAAAAGGCCCGAGTAATGAATTAGATATCAAAACCACAAAACATCCTTGAGGAACTTTTAATCAGAAAATACTTGAATACATTCAACATCCTAGAACAATTAAAGTGTGAGAATATCAACTAATATAAAATTCTCAATTCCATTAGTTTGAAATCATGTTTTCTCCAGTCAGTGAATTATGCATAGCCCATAGGATTTAATTCCCCAGCTGTATGGTGATTATTGTAAATGAAAAGCACAAACTAGATTATTTTAATTTTATTTTTTCATTTTGTTTACACTGCGCACAATTACCTTTTTCAACATATAGGATTAAATGGTAATGTAGAAGTGCACCTGTTGCCCTTTTATAGCTTTGGATGCGATCACAGAAGCTTGCAGCCTGCCAGATTCCCCTGTTTGACTATTTTAGGCCCAAAGCTCTCAGTTGCCTACACGAGGTCAGCGATGGCCACCAAACCAAAAAAAGCCTCCCAAAACAAATCATGCAAACGCACCGGTTACATGCTGGGTGCTTTGTGCAATAAGCTACTTACAATCTATGCAACAGCAAAGGCTGGATGAGAAGTTAATCCCCACCCCCCCCCCTTCCGTCACTCTGTGTCTCTCTCCCTGTCTGTCTCTATATCTCTGCGATTTGTGTCAGTTTTCTTTCATGTTTCTCTTTCTGTATTTGTAATTTTTGAACATAAAAGGCAAAAGGTTAAAGATGTATTCTTGCCGAGTCAAACACTCCCAATTTCAAGGATTGAGAGCAGGAGATAACCTGAGCGCAGGTTTTGCTGCCAAACGTGGGGCACGTGACGGCAAGAGACGTTAATTACAACTAATCTGAGACATTGCATGCAGGCGGTGGGCCAAAATGCCATCAAATTACCTCAGCCCACGGTAATATATATAGCGACCAGGGCAACCACCCAGCAGGCTGCAGGAGCTCCTGTGTAATCTGAAACACACTCAATGTGCTTGGTGCCTGCCTGTGACTCAATGGAGGCAATAACATATAATGAGGGTGGTGCGTTAGTACTGATGTGCATATTTTTGCAACCCTCTGCACACATCGATTCAGTCTTGGTCGATATGCTGCTTTCCTTTCTCTGTATTTCTCTTTTTCCATGCCAAATGATGACAATAGAGAGTATTTCTATCGGGATTCACAGACCGGCTGGTTGACTCGGTGCATGGTACAGTAGAATATCCTCCCCAGCCCTATAGCCTGTCTGTCACCATTTGTTTCCCCTCCCTCCCAGCGCCATCTGCGCACCAGCCAAAGCAGAAACCAGATTATCCCATGAACGCGTCATGCCGAATCAATGGCCACTCCACTGACTGCCTTCTTATATTGCAGTGTTCTTTTATTTTTAATATAACCACCTTTAAATAGAAGTAGAATTTGTAAAACATAGATATTTTTTCTGGTTTGTACATTGTACATTGACATTTCGATAAATCCCTTCAAAGCTCTTATTTACAAATTATT